GATTAAAATGGATACCTGCAAGAATGTATCATAAAGGCTTTTCAGCAGTGTTTGCCTAATATAGTACATAGTATATCTTTTCCATTTGAATTTGTACACCAAGGACTGTGGATTCTAAAGCAATCATTTCCTCCAAAGAAATGATGGTAACACACTAAGCAGAAATAGAAGTATTTGTAAAGGGGAAGGGGAAAATGATCTTTCTTAAGGACTTAAAATGCAAAACCATGATAGTTGAGGCTGTCATGCTCACTTTCACAGTTAAAATAAAAACCTTCACAGAGACTGCCTTGACATAGCAATCAAAGTATTTCTGCAAACAACAGTCTCAAAATTTACAGACATCTGAGTTATGATATTTTAATTGGTAGTGGGTGGCATTTATAATTTTAGTCAGTGATTACGGTTTCAGTAATGACAGTTGAACATCTCTTTACCACATCTACAATGGATTTTCAACATTTCGTTGAATTTTAATATTGAATAATTTGTTTTCTGTTGCAAAAGTAAGATTAGTTGTGTATGATAGATTTTTTAATTATAAAAATGTATAACTGGAGACAAAAGTTTAAAGTACTTCCTGAATTTAAGTTTATTTCTACGATATTGGCTACATAGTGATGTATGGTCATTAAAGACAGAAGAAGATCAGTAATTAAAATTCACATGACTTAAAAACTATCTGTTTTAATAACTGTCAGTAATATTTTGTATTGGCTGCTAACAAGTTAGATGTCTGACTGCTTTGAGTGTTGTTTCTTTTTTTTTTAAGAGAGATAATTTTTTTAATATTTATTTTTTAGTTTTCGGTGGACACAACATCTTTATTTTATTTTTATGTGGTGCTGAAGATTGAACCCAGCGCCCTGCGCATGCCAGGCAAGCGCGTTACCGCTTGAGCCACATCCCCAGCCCAAGTGTTGTTTCTTTACAGTGCCTGTGTGTCAGAAACAAAGTGCCCAAAGAAAAAATAGTTAACCAACAGAAGTAACATTATCTCAGAACTATAAATTTCTCTGAAGTATACTAGTGCATATTATTTATAGTTTATTTGTGTAATTACTCTTACCTGCAGTACCAAGATTAAGTTGAATACTAAGATTACCACTTCTGTACTGTTTAGATTTTAAAAAGAAAAAAGAAAAGTTAACTTCAAGGACCTTAGTTTTATCCTAAGCATATTAGGTATTATTAACTTAATCAACATGGAAATAATTTAGACCCCTTTTTATAATTACACATATACTGGAACTTCTTACCTGATATAACAAAGGAGAATTTGGGTTATGGACCTGTCTTAGATATTATCAAAAAGATTTAACCAGTTTAGCTTTAAAGCAATATTTTTTTATAAGTTATCCCATAGTACAGGACTATGACAATAATAGATGTTTTGGGGTTTTATAGGGTTTTTTTGCAGTGCTAGGATCAAACTCAGGGCCTTGCACATGCTAGACATGTCCTCTACCACTGAGTTATACCTTTGCCCATTTCTTGTTTTTAAAAAAAATAAACATAAGAATAAATGTGTTGGGGCTTTCAGATTACACTTTTAGGAATTGTTGTTCAGTAGATAAGAGACCTCACTACCTCAAGGAATTGAGCCATTGGTGGACATGGTTAACATAGAATGATTAGCATACATTTCTATTCTGCTTTCCCCTTTAATTTTAAAGAAGGAAAGCATCAACATTCAGTGCAGTCACTGTATTTGAGCAGGAAGTATGTAAACCAATTTTAAAAAAAAAAAATCTAGATAGAATTTGGTGGTTTTCTTCCTACTCATTAACATTATAAATCACAACTTAATCTAACTTCTGATCTTATCCCTGGTAATGATTTTAAAGTTCCTTTCTAATTTATTCTAAATTCTTGCCTTTGAATTCTGGCCATCTTAACTCTGGGTTTGGGAATTGATAACAAACCCTTAAAAAGTTTTTCTCACCATTGCCAAAGAGAATATTATATCTTGACCTCTCTGAAGTAGCCCTTCTTGCTTTACCAGCGTGTTTCTTTGAAAACATTTTTTTCTATTAATCTTCCCAGCTTCACCCATCATTTTATATAATGAAGAGCCGCCAAAGGGTAGAAATCACTTCTTTTTTCTGAATTTATCTGTGTCTATCATCTTCTTTCAACATAAACTAAAGCTGGGAAGGGAGTGAAGACAGTTGTCATGCAGGGTCTGATTGCATATGAAGGATGCAAAGGCCTAATCCCATTCATACTTGTATTCCCCAGGATATGGAGGCTGGGGCAGGAGGATTGGAAGTTCAAGGCCAGCCTGGGCAACTTAGTGACATCCTGCCTCAAAATAGCATAAAATAAAAACTCAGTGGTAACACTCTTAACCTAGCATGCATGAGGCCCTGGGTTCAGTGCTCAGTGATGGGGAAAGAAAATAAGCTAAGCTTTGATCTTCTCCTGGGTCCCCACTTTGTCTTGTCTTCCCTGAAAACCAGTAGCCTTTGACAATAAATGAAATCCCACATCCCACCCAACCCCTTGGGAAGGGAATAAGCAGTTACCATCTCTCTTCTGTATGTAAATAGATTCTTTGATTTATTTTCTAGATCCCAAGGTAAATTTCTCTTATCTCATCACTTGACCGAGGTAAAGGATTATAATGTCTTCATCTCCCAGTCCTGGCTTTTTTCTGCTTTTCACCAGGCCCACTTTCTGGGTTGTACGATACTGTGTAAGTGCAGTATGACAGTGGAAGGGGATGTCAGGATTTAAACTAAGTAAAGATATGTTGTAGTCACTGGTCAGCAAAGAAAAGCTTAACATATTTACCCCATTACACATCCCATGATATCATCCCACTTTTTAACCCAAAGACCCTGATATTTGGATTTGTGGGTTTTATCCGGTCTCTCATCCTTTTTTCTCCCCAATAATGTAATCTTCTTCCATCCTTTTTTGGACCCTAGAGAAAGCCTATATTCTTCTAAATTCTTTGTAACTGCCCATCATGTTCTCTTTTATGCTAGTCTCACCCAGGAAATCTTGAGACTGCCTGGCAGGATTTCATTCCTCCCCAACAATGCAATCTGTATCGTACATTTGCATTATTTTCAGCATCGTGATCTTATCCTAGGTAGTTCTGTGATCTACTGTTAGTACATTTTAAATGCTCAAGGGCCTCTGTGCATTTTAATACATGAGCCCAAAGAAAGAAATACTGTTTTAAAGAGAAGACTATCTTATTTGCTCCATATCTTAGTGCACTGCCTAGTACATAGTCTGTGCTTAATCTCCCAAAGAAACGAATAGAATTTTTTTTTTTTTTTTTGGTACCAGGTATTGAACCCAGGGGCTCTTAACCACCGAGTCACATCCCCAGTCCTTTTTATTTTTTATTTTTAGACACTGTTTTGCCAAGTTGCTGAGGCTGGCCTTGAACTTGTTATCCTCTTGCCTTGGTCTCCTGAGTCACTGAGATTGCAGGCATGCACCACTATGCCAAGCAAGATAAATGGATTTTGAGTTTCATTCCCAAGATGTACATATTTTTTAAAAAAATTAAGTTGATTAAGTTACCCCTTTCTCCCTTGTCTGGCTCCTAAGTTTATTTCATTAAAAGGCAATATTGTCAAAGTTGCCTTTTCAGCCACTGATTTGTAAGTCTCCAATTATATGTAAGATGTATTTTCAGTTTTAGCATCAATAGATCAATTGCAACTAAATTTTATCATTCTTGACAAATCTCTAGTGTTAAAATATAGAGAATAAACCTCACTGCAGGAGATGGAGTTTATGCAATAATTTAGTTGTTACTTTTGAAGTATATTTTGTTATATTTTTTTAAGCTAGTCCCCAGATTATAGTCATTCCAGCTGATGAACAGGAGATTGTTCTCTGACAGCTTTTACCCAGTCTACTGACATTTTATTTACCTGGTGGGTTGCTACCATTTATGTATGTTTCCTATAACAAGTTTCTATGCTTTATAAAAATGAAGTGCTTCCTTAAAATTTTTTTCAACTGAACTAAAATAAGTGAATAGAAGTTGTATATTTTCAATAAAGAGATAATCTTTTAAATTTTTATTTTGTTGTAGATGGACACAATATGTTTATTTTATTTATTTTATGTGGTGCTGAGGATTGAACCCAGTGCCTCACGTGTGCGAGGCAAACTACAACCCCAACCCCAGAGAGAGAATTTTTTACAAATGAACAAACCCAGGATGATAATAGGGGAAGAGAACTTCATTCTTTTGGGGCCATTGCTTCCCAAATTTGTGTGCATGAAAGTATGTCAGACTAAAGGATACACACAACATGCGGCCCAAGAGTATTGTTTTTACTTAGATAAAAAATAAAACAAGTTCAAGGAGGCAGCAGGGTCCAGAGGGAGAACTGGCACTGCCCGTGTTCTTTTTTATTTTAACCTTTGCTTCCTAAACTTCTTACTTCCTGGAGAACCCATTGTATGATCTAACTGCCCCCAGGGACCTCATGTTTGAAAGGTGTTACCTTCCAAACTATGTCTAGTATAGAAACTCTTACTATATATTAGTTAATAAAAAACAAAGGAACTGCAAATTACAGTTTCTAATCACCACAGGCTAACCAGAAAGAAACCTTACTTGGGGAGAAATAGCCACATTACATGCACAGCTTCAGGAATACTGAAGATGATTTACTGATTGTCCTTATTACTATCCTAAACCTTTGAAGATATAGGGAGTCCTGGGAGCAATGAGATCCCAGGCTTTGAACCCCAGTTCAGAGCTCTTCTGCCTACAATCTTCAAATCTTTTTATTTTGAGACAGAGTCTCACTAAATTGACCAGGCTGCCTTGAGCTTGGTATCCTCTTGCTTCAAGTTGCTAGGATTATAGGCATCTGCCACTGCACATGACCCAAAACTTCAAATCTAATCGTTTTTAGATGTATAAAACAGAGATGCCTGTGTTTCAAGTGAGTGTGTTGAATTGATGCTTTTCTTTCTTTCTTTCTTTCTTTTTTTTTTTTTTTGCTTTTTGCATATAGATTGAATATGAAAGGAAAAAGAAAGAAGATGGGAAGCGAGCTCGAGCTGATAAACAACATGTACTAGATATGCTGTTTTCAGCCTTTGAGAAACATCAGTATTATAATCTTAAGGACCTGGTGGACATCACAAAACAACCTGTGGTATGTATATGTTCATATCTATCCTTTAAATAGGTCCTGCTTTGTTAACATGTACTACTAAGTAGAAATGTGTGTTTCGCATATGATTGAGTTCACATTTACTTATACTAATGAGAGTTTGTGCGTTAAGGGCATGTTTTCTGGTTTTTTTGTAACATCAGCTTCATTGATTTGTTTACTTTTGGTATCAGGGATTGAGCCCAGGGGCGCTTAACCACTAAGCCACATCCCCAGCCCCTTTTTTATGTTTTATTTTGATACAGAGCCTTGCTGAGTTGCTGAGGCTGGCTTTGAACTTGTCACCTTCCTGCCTCAGCCTCTTGAGCCACTGGGATTAACAGTTGTGTGCCACTGCACTTGTCTACTTCATCATTTTAAATTCCAAATACATTTAATATAAATAATTCCACATAAAGAAAAGGAATTATCCTCCTTTGGATTTATTCTTGACGTTAATCTGTAGATTTTGTTGTACATAAACCTTTCACTTTTTGTTAAGAAATTAAATTCTGAAAGAGTTTAATTTCTTAACAAAAAACAAATTTTTTTAATAGAGCAGAAAGTGTTCATGCTGCAGTATTATCAACTCATCTTAATGACTTCAGTCCCTTTGGCATCAAAGCCTTAGAAACAGCATTCCAAGCTAGATTGAAAAAGAATAATTCATTAGCTAAGCTGCATTTCTTCTGGTCTTAATGAAGTTTATCTTTGTATTTTTATATATAAGCGCATCTACATGAAAATGGCTTCCAGAAACTGACAGCAGACAGGACATTCTTACAGAATAAAACATACACAAAATTGACATTGGAAAATAAGCACTTATAGAGAGACATTTTGATGATACTAAGGAATGTAATTTCTTTGCTGTAGAAGGGATATAAGATTTATTCATTTTGCATCAAAGATATTATTATAAAGCTTCTATTTTGTTTCTATAGATAATTTTTATATGGCAGTACACAGTAAGTCTGATAATTTTTGACTTATGATCAGGGGTGGACTTCAAGGGATCCATTAGCTTCCTGAATATGTGCAAAAATGTTTGGGTTTTTCTCAGCAGCTAATCCATAGTTTGTATCAGATTCTCATAGAGGACCACTGATCTAGATTATAAAACAAACTTATATTATTTAGAGACTATTTCCTCAGCAAGCAGATTTTTGAAGGCAGGGTTGTGTATTTTTCCTAAATATCCATATACTCTACAGCATAAACTTAGCCGAAATTCACTAGTTAATTAATCTGAAAAAAGGAAAATCCTAGTCCCCAGGAACCATCATATTTTCCTTAAATGGATTTTGACAGGCCTCGTGTCATTTATGGTGGGGGTTGGGGACAAAGAACCAGTGTCAAGAAAGTGTAGAATGTCTTTGCCAGGCTGGAAGTGGACCAGAGCTAGACTTAGGGCAGAAGGAGATAGCAGTGGAATCTAGCCCTGCTGTTTACCTCACTGGAAAGTCACTTTCATTCCTAAAATTGAAAGAGTTGGACTAGATAATCTTCATGATCCCTTCCAGCTCTGAATCTGTGATCCTCTCCCTATTTCATCATCTTCTCCTATTTTATCTCCTATTTTCTTCTCCTATTTTATCTAAGACCACTCTGAGCCCTAGCACAGTTTTCTAACATAGCACCCATTTACCAATATTCCTTTAATCACACATTTCTATTAAAAGTGTCATAGAAAAAGAAAGGGAGGAAGGAAGAGGGGAGAAAAAGAAAATCAGCTCTGATTATAACTGAACCTTATTTCCTGTTCTCTGTCCTCCCAATTTTAGGTCAAAATTCAGGGAAGTTTATTTTTAATTATTGATTAGCCATTCTAAATCAGGGATCCCTAATCATGTTGATCCAGTGGGGCCATATTTTAATTCAGAATGTGAAATTGAACAGCTGGCATGCTTTTAGTTAAGGTTCAAGTCTACAGGAAAAAACTAGTTACAGATCAGTGCCTATACTTTATATCCCTGTTATGTATATATGTATGTATGTATGTATATATATTTGGTACTGGGAATTGAACCCAGGGGAACTTAACCACTGAGCCACATACCCATCCTTTTTATTTTTTATTCTGAGACAGGGTCTTACTAAGTTGCCCTACTGCATCAGCATTTGGGTAGTATTAACCTAGTATTTAGAGTTTATTTTCAGAGAGGCTTAAGTAGGGGTTTGAATAAAAGTAATAACAGTAAAAATAAAAATAACCAGAATTTGGAATCAAGATATAAAAAAAGTATGCTGTTTTACAGGGTAAAATAGCTAGAGAATTTGAAATACTGAGCATTTATCCTATCAAAAATAAAAATTTATAGGTATACTCTATTATGGGTCTGTGAATTGGTTGGGATTCCTTTAAGTGCAAGAAACAGAAACCCAAATTCAAAATAAAAATAGAACCAGGCTATAAGCACACACCTGTTAGCCTAGCAACTCAGGAGGCTGAGGCAGGAAGATCACAGGCTTGAGGTCAGCCTCAATAACTTAGTAAGACCCTTTCTCAAAAATAAAATAAAGGGCTGGGATTGTGGCTCAGTGGTAAAGCACTTGCCTAGCATGTGTGAGGCTCTGGGTTCAAGTCTCAGCATCACATTTAAATAAATAGAAAATAAAGGTCTGTTGACAATTAAAAAAATAAAGTAAATAAAATAAAAACCATTGAGGATGTAGCTCAGAGGTAGAGTACCCCGGGTTTAATCCCCAGTACGACCAACCAATCAATCAATAATTTTTTTTAAGAAATAGATTTTATCACCTCATATAGCTTGGAAAATTCAGGAATGCATGTAACTTTAGAGATAGCCAGATCTAGCTAATGTTTAGTCACAACTGTCCATTTTCATCTCTCCATAGCTCTCATCATCTTCTCATCTTTCTTGTTTGTTGTCTATTTTTAAGTAGATTCTTACCATATGGTAGCCAGAATGGCCTTCTAAAACACCTCACAGCTAGCAACCCCTAACCCCACCCCACCCCCCAAAAAAAAGATTTCTATGCTGATTATTTGAATAAAAGCCCAAAAGGAGATTCTAATTGACCTGGTATAGGTCATATGCCTGCTTCTGACACAAGGGGATGGACCCAGGAGTGCTCTCGCCAGCCAAGGCCCACTGCATCTCAAACCCTGTGCCATATTGCTTTAGGTACAAAGTTTGTGCCTAATCAATATTAATCATTTTTACTGCTGTCTCAGATTTAATGTGTTCAAAACAACTCTGATTTCTACACTCACCAAGAACTCCCCCAGACTTTCTCATTTCAGTAAGTGATACCACAGTTCCCTGCAAGTTATTCAAGCCAGACACCTGTATCCCATTTCTTTTCCACAATATACATTACCAATTGTGATGTATAGATCTCTCTCACCCAGGATCTTAAATGTAAACAGTATCTTAGAGACTTTCTAGTTTAATTTTCTAATTTATTGGCCAAGAGAGGGGAATTGGCTAATGGTTTAGACCTAGTTATCCTGACTTCAGTCAATGAATATCCTTTATCACATTGCCTTAAGAATCATAATTAATTTAAGTCAGGTGTGTAGAAAATAGAACTAAAGTTTTATCTTTACTCATTACGTTTCTAATTCAAAAGTAAAAATAATATGATGATCATTCCCAAAATTACTTAATATATGCTATTTTGATTATAATGCTTTTTTCTAAAATAAACTTTCCCCTTTTCACTTAATTTCTTTTTTCCTCACTTTTGAAAAAACAATGTGTGTCATTTTCTTCCTGTTCACATATTCCCTTCTACTTCTCTCTTCATTTTTCCGGTAAGTGGAAATTTTTATTTTGAACGATACTACTAAAACTAAAAAGACAACCAGTCTCCCAGCAGAGCATATTAATTAAAGACAGCCCTTTTTGATATACCTATTTTAAAAACTAATTATTTGCTAACTTATGAAGTAGAGTCTTAATTAAAAATGTTAGGATATGAAATGTCATACTAAAATAAATTATTAACTGTTGAAATTTAAAACACATTTATGAAATTTTAATACTTTCCTTTAGAATAGAAGACTCTAATAATTACTAGATCTACTACCAAATTAATTATAACTTAACGTTTTCCCTTTTAATTTCCTATATGGTTTATTTCAGTTGTTTTCTTTTTTCTTTGCCTCAATTTTTGAATGAGGGAAAATTTGAAGTGCATTTTGTAGCATACTCACTTAACTCAAGATTTTACATAAATATTAACTAATTTGCTGAAAAATTTCTATTGGTAAAATACACCTACAGCCTCCCTTGCTTGCCATTTAATTTTCAATAATATTTTCAAATAGAAAAATAATACTATGCCATTGATATTTTTTGGTTGTTTGTACATTCAAAACTATTCTTCACACCAAACCTACTAATAATGAAACAGTTGCCATGGTTCTAAATGCAAATATTTATTTACATTTAAAAAGGAATTTATTGTTTGCTTCTTTATCTGTTAAGACTTGGATACCTTTCTGTATGTTTGTGTATATGTATATATTTTTTTTCTTGTTTCTTCCAGTTGTAAGCCATTATAAGACCCAGCCTTGGAATACCTTATAATATCCCAGAATAAGCTATAGTCAGTATGCAAATAAACTAGTGCAGTTTAGACATATTAATATTAAATATTAACCAACATTAGAGACATGAGCATTTCTCCTATCAAAAGTAAAAATATATAGGTATATACTATTATGGGTCTGTGAATTGGTTGGGATTCCTTCAGTTGCAAGAAACAGAAACCCAAATTAAAAATATAAATAGAACCTGGCCTGGTGGCACATACCTATCAGCCCAACAACTTCCCAAAGAAAGTAAACTTTGTCTGAAATATTCAAACATTTGCCAATGCTAAACAGAAAAGGTATTGCTAATAAGATGATCTACAAACATTAATGCAAACTTTTTTTTTCAAGGTTTGGATTAGGGTCGGCCAGGGCTTCTGCTTGACTATTTCATTACCCATCTGTCTGTTTTTTGGAATTTCAAAGGAAGAAATGAAGC